ATTTCTCATTGATCCTTACAATTACAACAATAGTTGGTATATGCTGCCTAGTATGGCAGAGTGTCGTTCAGCCGGCGGTCTAGTCTCTACTCCAGATGGCTGTCTTTACGCACTTGGCGGGCATAACAGTCTTGCTATATACGCTTCGGTCGAATGCTTTGCTCGCTACGGTCGCTCTCGCACTCCAGGACGGCTTGAACCAACTATTTCTCTTCCGGGAAACAGAAGAGCTGGTCGCCTGCTGCTACCCGATTTTAGCTCAATTACAAACAATGGTGGTGGAAGTGGTATGATCACACAAAACAACAGCTCTGCCGTATCGGTAGGGCGGGTAGCTCAATCATTACCTGTCAGCTTGTGGTTTACTGTCTCCCCGATGCAGACACCACGCTGTCGACATGGATCCGCGGTTCTTCAGCAACACATTTTTGTTGCAGGGGGCTACAACGGTCTGTCATTTCTCGATAGCGTTGAGTACTTTGACCCAAACGTCGGACCGGACAGTCGAGGTCTCCTTGGTCAATGGACAGTAGTGACGTCGATGAATGTGCCCCGGTCTCGCGTTGCTTTGGTTGCCACCGCTGGCCATCTCTATGCTATAGGTTAGGCTAGAATTTATTTGAATAAAAACTGGATTATTGAATCTATGAATTGTGTTTATCTATTTCGTTGATGAAGGACTGGTAGTTGATTTTCAAACAATGATATGAGTGAAGCTGATGTTTTCCATTGAATTTCACCTAGCCTTGATTTCCCAAAAAGTTCCCTTATCCAGGGTGGACTGCAGTTTCGACCTCGAATAGGTCTTATAAACACCCCAAGCGGGAGTCGAACCATGATAGTGCAACGTGTAAGCTCGACAGATTAAACACTACGCCTCATTGCCACGAGTGTCCTTGGGTCACAGGGCAGATGTAAATTTCAAGGTATGTCAGACATCTTCCATATCACATTTTGTGTTGGGATTGTCGATGAAGCAAACTTATATTTGCTATAGCAATCGATGACATTACTTTTATCGTAAATAAATAGGTTTTCGAGACTACTAGTAGATCGGATATATGGATTGTGTTTATCCTATTTCGTTTAAGGTGATGATAGATTCTTGAATCTATCCTGCTGCAAGAACGTGGACGAATGATGTACCATTATGCATTTGGTTATGGCCCTGTTTGAATTTTTTAAATTCCTCTTTTTATTTGCCTATGCTATATTTACGTACATTATGCGTGTTTTAAATTACAATTACCTAGTAAGCACATTGCATGGATGCTTTGAGGATAGACGCTTCTCTCGAATTTCGTAGGAAGTTCCCATATTTAGTCATACCTTTAAACATGATTTTCAAGGTTCTAGTTTTATATAAGATGGTGTAAAGTAAGTTTTGTCTAGTAAAGTCGAATTTCTACTAGTTTACGTTTGCCACATCATCGTTAAGTACTATCATGAATTATGTAGGATAAAACAAATTTAAATGTTGCTAAACATTCAACTAATTATCTAAGTTCAAATACAAGTTCTCTCAACGGTAAATGGCTTTTATTACCTTCATCCGACAACTATGAAATTCTATACTAAAGTAAACTTCTTTAAAGCTATTTTTCAATCTCCACTGATATGAGTAGGCCTCAAAAGCCTAGGCCATTCCCAATGTGGGGAAGTTCAACCACCAGTCCTTCATCTCTTTAAACGAAATAGTTCTTCGGATCTATCGGTAATCTAGAAAGCCTACTTAT